TACTGCAGTTACATTACTCATCTTCACGCCATCTTACAACAATTTTTAAAATTCGAACATGACAAACAAGCGGAAGATGCAAATTAATTTCTGAGCCCAGCTGATCACCCCATTTCACTGAGAGAAGACTGATCAGACATATTTTATTTCATATGTATTTCATAACACAGCCTGAGGCACCAAACCTGCTCTGTCATGTCAACACGATGAGGCATACAGAATCTTTTTCTCCCACTCTTACTAAGGCTTTCTTACAGCGGTGAAGAGCGCTGTGCAAAGTGCATGTAAGAATAAGTGCAGCCTCCAGTGACAGCGCTGAGGATCAGAGGCAGACCCTAAACGCAAGGTCAGTTATGCAACACTACTGCAAGTAACTGACTACTGCATACTGATCAGCTTTCCCAGTGGAGTTTTGCTGGCAGAGAGAGAGCGAGAGAGAGCGAGAGAGAGAGAGAGAGAGAGAGAGAGAGAGAGAGAGAGAGAGAGAGAGAGAGAGAGCCCGCGCGAGAGAGAGAATGCTATGTTGTATTACATCAGCAATATTCTTTCATCATTGCCCTCTGCTCTTTGAAACTAAGTCCCTAAAGGCACAGCACTTATGGAAACATGAAACATTCACCAACAACTTGGCCTTAACGATTTAAATAATAATCAAAAAAATCAATGAAATCTAAACAGACTCTAAATATCATACTGCAATTACACTGCCAGATATTGCAATTGCAATATGCATTGATAAAATTAGTGATGGATGAGCAGAAATGATCAAAAACTGCCCTGAGTTATTTTAACCTGTTTTATTTATTCATGTTGGATCATGTAAACGTCTAAATTATTCCAAACACCCACTGAAACAGGAAGGTTGGATCTGAAACAGTATATTCAAAGCACGCAGAATACTGGGATTTGGATTGTGCCAGTAAGGGAAGTGTGGGCTGATGTCAGTATCGTTTTTTTTCTGTCTATATCAGTCAATGCTGAAATATAGACACCATTAAATATGGGTTTGAAATAGTCAAATCTAAACCTGTGTTTGACGCAAATACTTATTTCTGAGTAATTAACAGCTGATAACTATATGATCCTGATACTGCGCAGCCCTTTTGAGGTTTTTAGAGGCTCATTGGTATATTGCAGCTAGATGCAATGACAGTATGGCAAATGCTAATACTGCAATTGTAAATAAATGTTATACCACATGGCCTAAATTTATCAACGTTCCACCAAGAAATGCATTTTTACTGCAACTGTTATATGATGTGGAGTTTCTCTTTTAAAATAAACTGCACTACTGTTGTGGACTGTTGCTGTAGCTAACTAAACTAGGCCAGAGGTCGGCAACTGGCTCTTTTACTGCCCTGTTGCAGCTCCACAGCAGAATTAGATGTTTAGGTAAAAATAAAATAATCCTCCTTTTCAGTAAAATAAAGCTCTGCTGATCGTTCAACACAGTTTAACAATAAACAAACAGTCTTAAACGCCGGAGTTAATGTAGAACTGCTAATTCACCCTTTAACCCTGAAGGTTGGTGCGCAGACTGCTGGTCACTATAGCAACACAGACAGTAATCTCACCTAGCTAGCAGCTAACGAAACGGCAAAGAGAGAGATTTAAGACGAACATCGATAACTCAGAGACGAACTGACTTGTTTGCATTTATAATCACTCCAGCTGGTTTCCTGATACGTTTAATCTGCAACGAGAAACTGTCAAACACTAGAGTCGCAAGGCTGAAGTCAGTTTCTCATTCACCAGCGTCTTGTTTGAATTTTCCCACTCCACTTTAAATGGTGCAGCAGCTGCAACTCGAACAAGAAGCTGGAGAATGAGCAGCGACTTCAGCCTTGCAAAAGGTCGAAAAACCGTTCTACTTTTAAGAAAATGTTTCCTGCTGGAGATGCGAGAAAAGCAGCTATAGCTGAGGCAAAGCTTAAAGCAGAGCAAAGTAAGTCTGCGTTTTCATTTATATTATATGTTTTAGTGTATAATAGGACATTAGCTAGCACATAAGACATTTTCAGCCAGATGGTAAAACGTTACTTCAATAAAAAGGACATAAAATTCTGTGGCTCCCAAAGTGGTTTTTGTGATTTTTGATGAAAGAACAAAATGGCTCTTGTTATCATTTGGGTTGCGACCTCTGAACTAGGTATTCTGGTACAACATAAACCCGATATATCTTAACGTTATGAACTCGCACATATACAAAACAAATTTCTGAAATTAATTACACTCCAAGTTGAGTTGTGCGCTGCAGTATCTCATTACTGACTGTGATTAACGCTCTGTAAAGCTGTTCAAACAAAACAGTTACTTGAAAAGAATAGATCTGTTGGAGGAGCATAGAGAAGATTCTGTCCTCACCCTGCAAACTGACATCTGGTTGGTTGTCAGGGTGCCAGTCTTGTCTGAGCAGATGACCGAGGTGCAGCCCAGCGTCTCCACAGAGGGCAGGGAGCGAACGATGGCGTTCTTCTTGGCCATACGTCGGGTGCCTAGGGCCAGGCAGGTGGTGATGACTGCTGGGAGCCCCTCGGGGATGGCAGCTACCGCCAATGCAACGGCGATCTTAAAGTAGTAGACTGCTCCGCGAATCCAAGAGCCACCGTGAACGGGGTCGTTGAAGTGGCCGATGTTGATAATCCACACAGCAATGCAGATGAGAGAGATGACCTTGGAAAGCTGCTCTCCAAACTCGTCCAGCTTCTGCTGCAGTGGAGTGCGCTCCTGCTCCGTGGACGCCATCTCGTCACGGATCTTCCCGATCTCGGTGTTCACACCCGTGGCCACCACCACGCCAACGGCCTTACCTGCCGCAATGTTTGTGCCCTGAAAAACAAAAGCCAGAACCAGAAAGTATGTCATGGGTTTTGCCAAAAATTTTATTTACCCAATTATAGTCTACGGGTGAGTTTAAGGGATCAAGTTTAGTCATGAACTATAATAGTGTCTCTCCACTTAGATTATGCAGTCCAGGACTAGGCTTAATCCCTGCCCAGGAAACCAACACTATACATAGTAAATTAGCCAATTTAGTGTCCAAAATTTTCTCCTTCTTCTCAAAAAAGTTAGAGGTTTATAGCCACCAGTTCAGCACTGTGCAAACTGCAAATCTAAATGACCACGTTGAGCTGTTAATCACAGACATGCTTATGTGGTTTCTGAGTAGGGCTGAACAATTGATTTTTAATATTAGAATCCCAAGATGAAAGAGTGCAATTTTCAAATCGCAAGATCCGCAATTTTAATTATATGCTTTATTCAACAATGTCTTAACATGTTTTAAATTGAAAAAATAACCTAATAACACAGAGCTTGTGAGCTGGCAGTCTGTATACATACACACACACACACACACACACACACACACACACGTGTGTGTGTATATGTCTGTTGCTCTTTACGCTGTGTGCTAATGTCATGATGAATGGACCAAAAGAAACAGCCCAAAATTACTTGAAATTAGCCCAAAATTAGTTTCCACTGACTTACATTAAAAGTACAGTAGGTTTTTTCCTTTTCCTGCAAAGTTATCATTTTGGAGATATGAGGTTTTGTTCCGACAACAGTGACATTATTTTGTCCATACGTTGATCTGTTTTCTTGGCTAACTGATTAAATTTGGGGAAATTTGTTTTTGTCCTCATTATTTGCAGTGAAAATATAATTTATGGTAGAACCATTCCTTTAAAAACTTTACAAAGGAGTGACGGTGGAGGCCATATGCCAGGTGTTCTAATAAAAAAAAGGATGTTTAATTACAGTAGAGGTTTTTTGATGCACTTTTGACAAGTGACCATTAGATGCTTTATAACTACAACTGCATGAAAACGGACATACAGGCAGACCAGACGCCCGTCGCAGCGAGAAAGCTGTAGCAGTGAATGGGATGAAACCACACTTACAGAGAACAGCATGTTCTTTTTGTCCTGGTTAACAGCGCGTGGGTCCGGGACTGGGTCCGTATGTTTAATGACCGATACAGACTCTCCTACAGAGGCACAGAGAAAAAGAGGTAGACAGTTAGAAAATGTCAGGATGAAAAAATCATGTGAGCTGCAGCCAGTCTGGCTCAAATGGTCCAGGTGTGCCTGTTAGAAAATAATGAAAAATTCTGCCTAGTAAGCTCTGGAGTCTGGTCTCTTCAGCCCTTCACGTACCACTGCTGTGCTTCTATAAGTCCAGCTTTCTTGTACTGTAAACTGATCCGGCACTTTCGAAGGCTTCATCATGCATCACTTTCCAGATAACCTTTAGTACCTTCAGAATATGCCATGTTATGAAAATGCTTTGCATCTTTTAACTTAATAAAGAAATGTTATGTTTTTACTGAAGTCACCAATTAGTTGTTTGAGGCCTAATTTAACTCCCAATCACTAACAGATATTCCTGACATGTTATAATCTAGAATTAGAAGTGCCTTCTTGTGTCTCTTGCAGCCCAAGGCTGCCATTCACAGCAAAGCTAAGCGTGAAAACAGCCCTCTAAACTGAACTGTGAAGTCCCAAACACCCAACGGCAGAGCCACCAGAAACCGTTTTTTTTCCCCCAGACTACACAGCTGCACTCAACATCTCAAAAGTCCTCTATTAGCAACAAGATTAATGGCTTCACCGCTGATTTGATCACTGTTTAGATCACTTAAATGTTTAAAGACTTGAAACTGTCATCACCAACTGTCTACATATGCTAGAAACTAAAGATTTGCAGCTTACTGTTTAACTCATAGTGAGAGGGGATTAAGTGTTGAACAAGCACATCTCCATACCAAAGCGCACTGCACTGCTTCATAGAAGCTTTTCAACTTCATAGAGTGAAGAGAGAGTGCAGACGGAAATAATCAGTAATTGTCTGAATGGCCAGTTCGGCGATACAGCAGAAAACAGCCAAGGATGGAGAGGCTAAAAGCACTCTGACTGGAACCTCCTGGTAACCTCATCTGTTACCAATTAAGGCAGTGGAGCAAGATGTGAGTCCTACAGCAAAGTTTCCTCTCGTTCTCATTCTAATTCCCCAGCTTTTCTGAGCTGCAGAGACTGCTGACCTCCAGTTAAGGTCAGGGGTCATGGATATATCTTGGGAAGGGGAAAAAAAAAAACCAAAAACATACATTTAAACTACACTGCAGTTCATGCATTCATGCCACTCTTCAACATGCAAAAACATCAACATGAGTAATGAAAAATTTAACAGATCATAATATGTACAGTGGGGCGGCACGGTGGCGCAGTGGGTAGCGCTGTCGCCTCACAGCAAGAATGGCCTGGGTTTGATTCCTGGCCGGGCGACCAGGGTGATTTCTGTGTGGAGTTTGCCTGTTCTCCCCGTGTCTGCGTGGGTTTCCTCCGGGTACTCCGGTTTCCTCCCACAGTCCAGAAACATGCAGTCAGGCTGATTGGATATGCTGAATTGCCCCTAGGTGTGGGTGTGTGTGTGATTGTATATGTCTGTCTGTCTGTCTGTCTGCCCTGCAATGGACTGGCGACCTGTCCAGGGTGTATCCTGCCTTCCGCCCAATGACAGCTGGGATAGGCTCCAGCACCCCACCGCGACCCAGAAGGATAAGCGGTTTAGATGATGTATGTATGTATGTATGTATAATATGTACAGTAATGCAACACCAGTTGATGTTAGGATGTTGAGATGTTCTGGTTCTGAATCACTTTGGTTTCAGTTCCTTGGTTGTACAATTTGTATTTTATCCTGAAACAGCTGTAGTTGCAACAAAAAGTATATTTAAAAATATTTAAGTAAGAATTAAGTAATTTAAGTAATAATTAAGTAATTTAAGAATAAAATAAAAATACAATAAATAGAATAAAGAATGAGAAAGAATAATAAAGAGCCAATGTGAAATGAGCTAAAGAGATGCATAAATATCTGTACATACAACTCTGTTTCCAAAGAAGTTGGGACGCTGCGCAAAATATAAATAAAAACAGAACGTAATGATGTGGAAATCATTTAAACCTGTATTTAACAGAAAATAGTGCTATTAATATTAAATATTAACATGAGAAATGTTCTTGTTTTTTGAAAAATATATGCCAGCAACACGTTTCAAAAAAGTTGGGACAGGGGCAACAAAAGACTGGTAAAATCTGTGTACTGCTTTTTTTTAAAAAACACACCTGGTGGAACATCTCACAACTAATAAGGTTGATTGGTAACAGGTCAGTACCATGATTGGGTATAAAACAAACATCCCAGAGAGTCTTTCAGAAGTAAAGATGGGGAGGGAGAGCGGTTCACCATTCTGTGAAAGACTGTGCAGGCAAATTCAAGAATAACAAATTTTACATAAAATAACAAAGAACTTGGGGATTTTACCATCTACGGTACATAATATTAAAAGATTCAGAGCATTCAGAGAAATCTCCGTACGCAAGGGATAAAGCCAGATAAGTCAGTCTCCTCAGTTCCGAAACACTCGCAGAGTGCTGCTAAAAGAAACGAGGTGAAGCAGCACAGTGGTAAACATGCAGCTGTCCCAACTTTTTTGAAACATGTTGCTGCCATCAAATTTCAAAATGGCCATATATTTTCAAAAGAAACAAATTTCTCAATTTTTAATTATATACAGGTTATAAATGATTTGTACATAATTGCATTGTGTTTTTATTTACATTTTGCAGTGTCCCAACTATGGAAATGGGGTTGTAGAATACACTGACAGACAACTACATCAACAATACCTGTTCAGTTTAAAGTTTTGTTACCATTCTTGTAATAACATTACTCATATGTCTCTAAGAGAACAGTATTATTTTTTGCTAAACGCACTTAAAACAAGTTTTGTCTGTATATATTATCTGTGCCTGTACTTTAGTGCCCGCGTCAACTGAGCGTGCAACCTTGTGAACGTGACCAACAAAAACTACACTTTACACCATCATAAATGAAAAATCTGGTAATTAATTTCAAAATACCAAAATGAAACTGATGGATAAAGGCTGGCATAGTGAAGGAGAGAGCCAGCCTAAACAGACCAGACTTGATTTTCATTCAGAAACAGCTGTAAGATTTACATTTTATTCAAAAAGATTTTATTTCAACTGTATCTACCGGTTAGTGTCTAAGTCTTCAAATAACATTAGTCAAATGATTCATTTCAATTCAGCATAACTGACACTGTTCAGGGCGTGCGCAGCATAGAGACAGACCTTTTTAATAATGTTTACTGTACTTTCTCTATTTTTATCATTTGCCAGAACTCACTGGAAATCATAACATAAGTTAAGAATGAGAAGTGAGATAATGAAGTAATCCCATTACAGTTTGAGAGAAATAATTAGTCATTTGCAGACGATTACGTTTTTGAGTAACTAGCCCAGCGCTGCCTGTGACTATCCTCAAATTCAGTCTCTACATACATATATAGATGCAGAATGGAGTGATGCAGTGATGGTCACGTCTCACCTGTCAGAATGGACTGGTCCACTCTTAGTGTGGTGGATTTGATTGAAGTCAGGCGGATATCTGCAGGAACTTTGTCACCCACTAGAAAGGAAACAGAAAGCATGTTGTCAGAGATAAGCCAAACGGACAGAGAGGGAAACAACTGTTTTAGAGGGCTTCAAATACACTCATACAGCATTACATGAGCTGTAATTCTGAGAACAATAACTGAGGCTCCAACTGAGGCTGTACTCCACTATCAGTGATATAAAGAAACAGGGCCTTGTCCACAAAGGTGGGTGATACGGCAAAAATACATCAACACGAAAACATCTTTTCGATATATGATACGCATCTCAATATTTAGTTTTTCCTCAGGTTTGAGAAGTTGGAACAGACAATAAAGAACCAGTAGTGCCACAATTAAACGGCCCACATCACAGAAAACTGAATTTTCCTTGTCTTTTATAATAAGTTTAAATTAATATGTAAATATTTTAAAAGTTTCAAAATATGCCAGATAATCTCCAGAACCAATTCATTTACATATGAATGACCTATTGAGGCTACAGTAGTTTGGCTCCACCAATTCACACTAAAGTTGTAAGGAGTGTTTCAGCCTGGACTACTTTTTGAATGAGGTGCAACACGTGGCAGCCAAGCTGAATAGGGGTCATCTGCATATATCTTAAAGGCACAGTAACAAAAAACAGCTTGTTTAATTCTAAGGGATAAAGAGAGGTTAGAAAATGGTCAGGTAAAAAATGAATGACATAAAACCACACAAGTGTCATAAGCGCCCCTTATTTGACACTTTTTAATTGCATTAAAGAGAATTAAACAGGGCCAATTATGCTCCGTCCATGCATACTGCAATGTAATTTAGCATAACAACTATAAATTAACAAAAAATATCATACTGGCCACCCTTTGTCTATTAGAGTCTTTCTGGTCGGTGTAGCCGTGAAGCACCTTGTTTACATAAGCAGTGGAGGAACACTGCTAAAATGCCACAGCTGTATCGCTACGGCTCTTAGTGTCTCCAGACATCACTTTTCATGATGATCTGGCCACCATTACAAGCTCAACAGCTACTCCAAAAGCACTTCAAACAGAGGAACACAGCATCACAAGCAATCACACCTTCAACACTTCACGATCAAGCAGCGGCAACAAGTTCTCAGTCTTGTAGCTCCTGTTGTGTGACGCGTTTTTAAATTATTACCCCCCCCAAAAAAATGCATTTTGAAACAGCAATTAAAATGAAAAGCAAGCAGGACCAGTGTTTTTATTAACATTCTGGACTGGAGTAAAAGGAAAAAAAAGTGATAAACTCATGTTGGGCGCATTGGCCAAGTACCAGAAGCACAAGGGAATCTCAAACTCTTCCAGCACACGCGGAGGACCCAGTTAAAGTCCTCTCAATGTGAACCTGTTAAGGTCAGGAAACTGGTCTGGCAAATTTCTCTCGTATTTCGACAAATACACAAATCTAAACCTTATTTTTTTTTTGCAGAAGAGGAATGAAACATATCAAAAGCTTTAAAAAGTTCCAGTTCTTTCTGGCAAAAGATAAAAATAGGCTGTGCATCATTCTTTCCACAAACTTGGGGGTGGGAGGCTTAGTAGTTGCTGGTGGAAAAAAAGGGAAAAAAAGGAAATGTAAACACTTAATTCTTTCCCAAACAAATCTTTGAATCAATGAGGAAACAGATACATGAGCTTTCTAAAACCCCTGACATTTATTGGTCACATGGGAGAGCATTCGTCTCAACCATCCACTTCAGATGTGTAAATGTTGGGTTTATGTGAAGAACGCTTCAATGACGGCAGCTGATTTTTTTTTTCGTCTTCTTTCAGGACAAATGTTCCGGCTGGATTTGGCCTAAGGCCTCTTCGCGGATTCCACAGAGACTCCACATGCGGAAAGGAGAGGATTGTGGTCATCCAGAACATAAAGCTCTGGACACATCTCCTTTTCAGGACCACGTTTTTTGCTAGATGCACAAATCTGCCGATAAGCCTCATTGCCTCTTTACATGGAAAGGGGGGACGGCTGGAGGGCTAGTATTACTCCAAAAAAAGAACACGAAGTCCAAAAATGGGAGAACTATTTTGATATGATCCATGGTGTACAGATGGGTTTACGGCACATCAGCTGATTGGGTTCTGTCCGAAGGGAAGGCCAAAGAGGGAAGGCCAAAGAGGGAATACCAGAGAGGGAACGCTGATGCACTGACCTTTCAGAGGCTTCACTGAGTTCTAATCCAAACTATGGCTGTCACAATCAATTATATATGAAATTTATAACAACAAACACCCTTGAGGTCCTGCTGGTGTGGGTTTCCTCTTTTTTAGTGATCACAAAAGCTCACAAATGCAATTTGAGCCCCCTTGTGGAGAAGATTCAGATTGCTGAACATGGCTTTATTATGACCCGTGGATGTCCTGTTTATCATTCAAACTGCCAAGCAGATTCACTGACGGCCATATTAATAGTTTTTAAGCAAGTAATCAATTTCACTTGAGGAGTCATGACAGCCCTAATCCAAACACATCTGTCCAAGCCTTCATGTAAACCTGAACTGGAATTGAAATACTACCAGCTGTTGAATGACAGCACCAGGGAACAGAGAGTTACTACTGAAATGAACATAAGGAACATAAGGGCTTCCACACACTATTATAGTAGGAATGTAGGATATGTAGGGGTGGGTGATTTTATAAAAATATGATATTGTGATACTTTAAAACAATACAATTATTTATATTCAACATTAGCATTAAATCCAACTAAACAGGGGAAAATACACAAATCAGGCATAACATTATAACCACCTCTTTGTTTCTACGCTCATTGTCCATTTTTAGTCCACCAACCAAAAATATCCAGCCAACTGGATATTTGTGACCACTGATGAAGAACTAGAGGATGACCAACACAAACTGTGCAGCAGCAGATGAGCTATCATCTCTGACTTTACATCTACAAAGTGGACTGACAAGGTAGGAGTGTCTAATAGAGTGGACAGTGAGTGGACACAGTCTTTAAAAACTCCAGCAGCACTACTGTGTCTGATCCACTCAGACCAGCACAACACACAAACACACCACCACCACGTCAGTGTTACTGCAGTGCTGAGAATGATCCACCACCCAAATACCACCTGCTCTGTGAGGGTCCATGGGGGTCCTGACCACTGAAGAACAGGGTAAAAGGGGGCTAACAAAGTATGCAGAGAAACAGATGGACTACAGTCTGTAACTGTAGAACTACAAAGTGCACCTATATAGTAAGTGGAGCTGATAAAATGGACAATGAGCGTAGAAACAAGGAGGGGGTCATCATGTTATGCCTGATCGGTGTATGCTCTCTTTGTAATTAAATATTCAGCTGGTCAGTGTCCGTTAAGCACTGACGATAGCCATGAAACGCTTAGAAAAGCATAGAGTGGCATAATTGAAATCATTACAATAAATGAACTTAATGCTATTTGCATTAAAGAAATAAAAGACTTTGAAAACATCCATACCCTTACATCTGCAACAAGGACACGGACTCTAGCAAATTACACGTGTTCAGTACAGACTGGATCAATAGCAGTGCTGATCATTATATAGAGACTACCTTCCCTCATGATCCAATTTATAAAAATACACACGGCCGTCTAAACGCCCCTAAGCCAAACTAATGAATGTGGAACGTGTACCCGATATATAGCTCAAGTTAGAAAAAGGTCAGATAGTAGGGTAGCCTACTTTATATAGACAAGGAGAAAGCAGCCCTATAAGAATAGCTCTCCTTGAAAAGCTTGTTTTTATTTCAAGATGGTCCCATCAAGAGAAGGTATGGAAAGAGCATATTGGAGCGCGAGTCCAAGTAATGATCTCCTTTTCAAATAATGGTCACCTTAGCACTGCTCTTGCAGTAAGCTTGGACAGATACGGCATAAGAAATGTGGTACAATGTCTTAGAACCTACACCGACCAGGCATAACATAACTAGTGTCTGATCCACTCAGTCCAGCGCAACACACACTAACACACCACCACCACCACGTCAGTGTTACTGCAGTGCTGAGAATGATCCACCACCCAAATACCACCTGCTCTGTGAGGGTCCATGGGGGTCCTGACCACTGAAGAACAGGGTAAAAGGGGGCTAACAAAGTATGCAGAGAAACAGATGGACTACAGTCTGTAACTGTAGAACTACAAAGTGCACCTATATAGTAAGTGGAGCTGATAAAATGGACAGTGAGCGTAGAAACAAGGAGGTGGTCATGATGTTATGCCTGATAAGTGTATGTATTTAGATATTTAGGTGTAGCTGAGTTTCCTCTTTCCTTTAAAAACCCACAGAGCAGCACAGTGACGTCAGTGTCAAACAGCACTGCAGAGTTCAGTGTTTACTCTGCTAACACACCCAAATTCAACAAGCATGTAGCGTTTGATAATCAGCTCACGAGCTGAATTAAGGTGTGTTGAACAAGGTGCGCTAAATCAGTAAAAATACTAAACCAGAACAGAAGTCTAAGAGCTCATTTGGACAAGAAACACCTTGCATTGACAACTTCCTTACATCTACAGTCTAAGCGCCTGAGGCTAGTATTAGCCAAGTCTCCCAGATGCTGCTATTTACTTTTGTTAACGAACTCTGACTAATGTTTGCTGGTGACCGACAGTTTGAACATACCTTAGACTAACACGCAGTGTCCGTTACAGCACATACGCAAATACATTCCAACAAGAGACTGAGCAGCATAAACAGGGAAGACTACAACTTTAGCATCGTCATTCTGCACAGATCAGCAACACATCCCTGTTACAGTCCTTATCCTCTTCTCTTACAGGCGCAGTCCTACCTGCAGCATTTTATTTGGAAAGACGATCTAAACATGGTATCAAAGGGAGTTCAAATCAGTCTTCTAACCTAAACTATGAGGGCTTAAACCAGACATCTTATAAACACAAAGAAAAACTACTAAAGGTTAAGGGTGTACTGGTCAGACTTGAGCATTCTGACCAATTCTGACAATTAAGTATCCATAGGAATTAATAAAGTAGGGGGAAAAAAGAATTTTCAACTAATATTAACGTAT